AAGGGATCATTCCCATCATTTTCTTCAGTGGTGCTCCTTTCTTAGCCAAAGTGCTAGCTGAGGTGGTCTGTCAATGAGTGGCTTCACAAACCCAAGCAGGGGCAGCTCCAAAACCTGGGGATGAGAAAACAACAGAACCTGCTGGCTTCTCTTTTCAGATCCAGCAGGAAAAAAATGCAGTTCCTGGCTGGTTTTCTTGCCTCATCTTGCCATGGTGTGGTTCAAGCTCTCTGTTCCCTTTCTCATCAGCCAGAGCAGTGCCCTCACCCACAGTTGTTTGCTCCTCCTGCCCATGGAGCATGAGCAACCAGCCAAGAAATCCAAGCAGGCTGCAGTCAGCCCTTCCCTAACTCTGCCTCTGTTCTTTATGTTCAGGCTGAAGACCCATATTACACGGAAAACGGCAGCCAGGGGAACACGATGCTGATGACACCATCCCAGGAGCCAGCAGAGCTGCAGGAGAAGCCAAACCTCAACGGTGGGACACAGGAGAATGGGACTGGCCAAACCTCCTCCAAAAATGGGCACTCAGCCAGGCAGCACAGCCCTGCTGACACCGAGATGTGACCTGGGAGGAGGTGTCCTTATGTGAACTACGAGGGGAGCAGAGAGACCAGGGAGGGCAGGAGTTTTTCTATGGACAGTTAGGGAATTGCAAACCGTTTGTCTTGTTGTTATTTCTGTGAAGGACTTCAAACTCAGCCTAAAGCACATTGAGAGCCAGAGCTGCCAAAGACCTGCTAGACGTCCTCCTCCTCCTCCTCCTCCTCCCATTGACCACACAAGACAATTTTTTGCAGCTGTTCTCTGCTTTTGTTGTTAGAAGAACATCATGAGAAATATAAGTGCCCTTAGACCCTCAACAGCTTTTAAGCAGAGGCAGGCTGACTCCAAACAGCCACAATTCCTGGTAGCAATGTGTTAGGCTGATTAAAGTAGTTAAATTGGGATTTCAGTGACAAAAACCTCTCAGGTTTCCAATAGTTTTGGTTAACGGAGTTGTTTATAATCTCATCTTTATGGCTAAGTGCAGGATTTCTTCCTCTTTCAAGGCCATCAGGCATTTAACCCCCTTCTTGTCTCCTTTAGTATTTCCTACTCCAGCAGAATTTGCTGAAGCTCTGTGTAAAACTTTCCAGATGGAATTGAAGGCTGAAATGTCAACAGACTTACAAACTTGTTTCTTTGTGAATCCTACCACTATGCAGGTCTTGTTTTAAAGTGAAAATCTTCCCCAGCCTCATCATGCCAGGGACTGGGGATGTGTGACGAGGCAGAGCCAGCATGTTATCCCTTGAATGAGATGGAGAACACTGGATTGGGATGTAGGGCTCTGTGGATCTTTGGGGCTGGCAGTCCCACCACTCTCCCTGCTGACATGTGGAGATTAATGCCCAGGGTAGGAATTTGGGAATATAAAAAGCCAAAGAGCTCCCAGTGGGCTAAGTGTGATGCAGAAACCCAACCCTGCAATGGGGGTTTCTCCCTCTGCATCAGCAATGGGTACATGGCCAAAGAGCAGAGTTTTCTCTTTGGGAAGGACCAAGATCCCAAGAGCAGGAGCTCCTGCCTAGCTCTGTGCTGGTCCTGTTGCCAAGGCAAGTGGTGCTGGAGATGTGTTGCTGAGGTCAAGCTGCCAAGAGGATGAAGGGCAGGTTTGTGCCCAGTCCTGAGCAGGTGCAGCTGATTTTCAGGGAGCCAAAGCCCAGTGCTGATGCTGCAAGCCCACGAGAGGTGGTGGTTCAGCCGACACCACAATCTCTGCTGGCATCAGCAACGACCTCCACATCAGGAATAGGGACCAAACTGTCCCTTGAAGCTGATCCACCCTCTCACTAGTGAATTCATCCCAACCTTTTCTCAGTGCTGAACACTTGAGGGAAAGGCTGGTTTTTCTGGTACAGTGCTTAAAGCAATGACAGCAACGTCCATCACCACCTGGGGCTGTTCTCACGGCTGCAAGAGCTGTTTAAAGGCGATTTACATACTTCAGGTTGTTTGTTTTGGTGTGAATTGCTTCTCCTGAATCTCATTGTAAATAATCCCGGTTGAAAAAAAAAAAAAAAATCATTAAGTATTAAAACTCAGCTCCTCTGTTGTGTCCTTGGAACAGCAGTGTGTTTATCCCATGGGATGTGTGGCTCTGGCTGCACCGTGTGCCAGCAGGATGAGAGGACAACGCCTCACAGAGAGGTTGTTTCCCAGCAGAAATCCCATGACTAAAAGCTGTGGCTTGTTCTGAGCACATTTTCCCTCTCTCAACAAACACTTCTGCAGGACGAGTGACATCCAGCACAGTATCACACCTCTTTTGTTTGGTTTTTTTTGAAGTTTAAGACACCCAGTTAAGTCCTGGGAAAATAAATGAGACTCCAGAGGGATGTGCAGGGTTGGGGCCTGACCCAGGGTGTGTGTGTGTATATGTAGATGGTTTTTTTGGTCACAACAACCCCCTGCAGAGCTCCACGCTGGGAACAGAGTGGCTGGAAAGTCACAAAGTGGAAAAAGGACCTGGAGGTGCTGGTCAACAGCAGCTGGACATGAACCAATATGTGACCAGGTGGCCAAGAAGACCAATAGCATCCTGGCTTGTATCTAAAGTAGTGTGGCCAGCAGGACCATGGAAGTGGTTGTCCTTTTGCCCTGGTGAGGTACTTTGAGTGCTGTGTCCAGTTCTGGCCTCTCATGGCAAGAGAGAGGGGCTGAAGGTGTCCAGAGAAGGGAACAGAGCTGGGGAAGGGGCTGCAGAGTCAGTCCTAGAGGAGTAGCTGAAGGATCTTGGGGGTCTTAGCCTGCAGAAAAGGAGGTTCAGGGAGGACCTTCTCACTCCCTCCAACTCTGCCAGGAGGTGCAGCAGGTTGGGGTCAGGCTCTGCTCCCAGGGAACAAGAGACAGGACAAGAAATGGCCTTAAACTGTGCTAGGGGAGGTTCAGGTGGGACATCAGGAGGAATTTCTTCCTGGAAAGGGCTGTCAGGCACTGGAAGGGGCTGCCCAGGGAGGTGGTGGAGTCACCATCCTTAGAGGTGTTCAGGAAACCACAGGACATGGCACTCAGTGCTCTAGCTGACAAAAGGTGGTGATCTTGGAGGTCTTTTCCAACCTCAATGATTCTCTGAAAGTTTCCCTCACAGGAACTATTTTGCCTCAAAGCATTTGAAGGGTCCTGCTCTCATGGAGATGCTGGAGCTCCACTGAAGGAGGTTTGGGTATCTTTACTGACACTTCCTAGTGCTTGTTCCCTGGCAGAGACACAGCAGGAACTCCTTGGGGGATACTAAATACATCTAGAAACCACCACCTGTTTTGGTGTAGTTTAGGGCAATCTGACCTCTGGCAGACTCATTGCAAGGAGAACAGATGCAGGAAAACCAAATTACTTTCCCAGGGAAAGCTCTCCCAGAGGCTTGATTAGCTCTGTGAGGTGGGACAGGGAGTTGGGGCTGGCTTGATTTTTTTTTGGCCATTGTTTATCTAATCAGCACTGCATCAAAAGTTGGAGATCTAATCAAATGTCAGGTGCATTTTTCACAGCTCAGGGTATGTCCTAAAGCCAAGCAGAGGACAATAAAGTTACAGTCAACCGCTCTGGCAAAACAAAAGGTTGCTCTGAAGCCTCCAGATTGAGGGAAATGCCAG